CACCGACTTCCACTGCTAATTTCCTGGACATCTTCAGAGAAAAGGGCTTATACATTACGTACTTCCCACACTGAAGAAGATAACTACGTTACCTCATTCTTCTTAAGAAAGGGATGTTTTTCATGATAGCCACTCTAACACCTAACAATGCTACTTACACATTAGGACTCTATTCCACTCCATCACCATGACTTCATATTCTGGTAGGCTCCATTTTGTTCTGGCCAGTTTTGTTACTGCTTCTTTCAAAAGCAGTATATGATGTCAACACCCATGTACACATACTTGGCATAAAACCACACACACATCATTTTATCATGGCTGGTATGTCACAGCTGAGGCATAAGTGTTCACAAATGCTCTGTGAGCTTTGTTGATTAAAGGATAAAGGGGGAGCTAGGGAAGAGAGCCCTTTGAGATTTCTGATGCAGAAACTCAATCCTCTGGGAACAGGCTTGGTTTCATTTATATTTGAAATCTGACCAGTGCCCGTTCTTGGCTGCTTCTCATTGAGAACTATTTTTAAGGTGCCCTGCACATTCCAAACCACGTATTCTATACATTGCTCTCTCTTCAATGGAAATCTCTTATGGGGGCAAAGTCAGAGGAGAATCTGGTGCAAGGTGGGAGAATCTTGCTAATAGCTACTGAGAGAAACAGGCACTTGGAATACTGTCCCTCTGAAATCTTTTTTTTTTTTTCCTGAGCAGTTACTTTTTTTGTGGTAGCATTAATGGATCAGAGAGTGCTGGTGAATTCCGACTTCCGCTTTCTCTGCCTGTGACTGTTTTAAGAGGATGGGTGTGGGTATGCCATTCCCTTCCTGCGCTTAGAATGGGTGCCTTCTGCATGGCAGGCCTTCTTCTTCACAGACTTGTTATCTGCTAAAATGCTACAGTGTAAGAACGTAGATTTTATTATTCTCCTTTTGTATTATTGCTCCCACTGGTACTACGAGTACAAGTAGTATTTTAACCTGCCTAAAATATCTAAATTCTCCAATATAACTTCTCTTCCCCCCTTTCCCCAAATATGAAAATCTATATGGCAAAAAAATCATAGAAGGTATTTCACAAATGGAACTTGAGCAATTGATCCTTTTTTTTTAAAAACCTCAGCTGAAATTTAGAAAGTTATTTCTTCTTTTGAGCCACTGGTACTAGGTGTCCTATCAGGCCCATCTCCCTGCCCCAAGGAACTCAGGGCAAAGAGCTGGAGGAGGTTTGCGTGTGGGTAGTAGTTGGCTTGTGCAGACGATAGTGGTAATTTCAAGGGCAATGCAGGAGGGAGTAAAGAAATATGCTATCGGCACACACAGCTTTAGCCTCAGCCTCACTCTAGATGAAAGTGTCATGTTTGCCTTTTCCCAATGACCGTGATGTCTTCAACAGGAGCAGCGTCTCGGGTAGGCTGCCAGGAGCTTTGTGGGCCATTTCCATCATAGCCTCATACGGAAAGCAGTTATGAGCAATGAATTTGGTGATGTTTTCATTAAAAGGCTTTTAGGAATTCTCCCTAGAACTGTCCTCACACCCTTCTTTAACCCAGTGTAATCCTCAAAGGCCAAACCAAGTGGTCTGTCAGGGTGATAATCACCCAAGGGACATAGCAGCTCCCCCAGACTCAGACTCTACAAGGGTCCAGGTTCAGCTCCTCAAAATACAAGAAAAAACTATAGAGCTATCAAAGTGGTCCTAAAATTTGAGTTATTAAAAAAAAAACTTTAAAATATAATATGCTTAAATACATAATTGGGTTTTCTCTTCTGTGTGAAATGCCTTACTGAATAAAAAAGTCACAACAAAGGATATTTAACTTCTGATTCATACTATTTTCCCTCTAGGAAATGATGCTTCCAAGACCCTGTCTTTCACAATGATTTGTTTTAATGTTCTCATTAAAATATATAAAAGTAAAGAAAACTGGACAGATACTTAAAAAGAAGAAACATACCATAGCAACATCACTGGCCATGCGATTCGTTCCTGAGTGCCCGTGTCCAGAAATACCCAACAGGAGACGGCGCTCTGGCTGCAGTGTCCAGGGAGGGGTGTCAGCGCTGCCGGTCCCTGCAGTCCTGGGCAGCCAGTGGAGAAAGGACTGACCAGGCCTGAGCAGGCTGTTCTAGACCCACTTCTACCACCAACGCCCTGGGGAGCTGACTGGTCAGCCCTCCATTTGGGCCTCGTTTTTCTCGTTCTCAGAAGGAGGCAATGAGCCTAAAGATCTGACATTCCCTTCTGAGCTATATTGTTTGGTGATCCTGACTTGTCATATGGCACCAACTAACTCTGCTAATCTCCCTCGTATGGAGATTTGCTTTCCTAGAACATTCAGTTTGATTCAATGAAGTATTTCTCTCTCTCTCTCAAATTGTTGCCAGTTTTTGAAACTATGCAGCACATCTATATATGTGGGAAGCAACAGGAAGACTTATCAATGCTCTAGCATCCTACAGCACTTTATCAGAGTCTAACGACACAGGGTTGTGTGCGACAAGCCTTGAATGGTGGCGCATATGGGAAAGGGGCTGCAGTTCTCCTCAAACAATATATCAAAGAGAAGAGGGCCGCCATGTTCAGCCAGAGCTGTGCTCCTCGTACCGGACCAGGGAGCCCCAGTAACCCGTGAAAAAGAGCCACAGCAGGGAGAGGAAACTGCTCCCATGACCGGGGCAGCTGTGATATCCCTTTCCGCCTGCAGTCTTCAGTGGTGGGACATACTACCTCTCCTCATTATTTATTAGTCATACTTGATGTTCAGATGACATTTAGCACATTTTAGTGTACTTTTTCAGCGAATAGCTCATTAGTTCTAAGAATCATCCACATATAACCACATGAAGCAGGCAGGCCATTTTACAGATGAAACACGGGCTAGAGCCCAGAGCCCTGATGCCACGGCAGGGTTGATTCCAGGTCAGCGTAACAGCCCTGCTGGGCATCACGAGTGTTGCCGTGTGAACTAAAGGCTGTGAAATTTGTCTTCCTGAGCCTGGTCTTGGAGATGGATCATTTGAGTCATTTGATATGTATAGGACTGTGGGTTTGCTACTGCCCAAGCAACGAGCATTCTCCGATGAAGACCCTGTGTGGGGCACAGGTTTATCAAAGGCATTTACGGTGAAAGTTCCCTAGACTGGCGAGACACACAAATCGCTAAATCCATATTTGGGGAAAATCCTAAATATCTAGTGTTCCATTTTACTTTTGGTAAAAAACTCAGGAACATCTTACCTACAAATTTGGAATGAGAACACAGTAAAGTTGATTCACTGTAATACATGTCCAATTCCACATCCAAAGCTTGTGTTCAGAAAATGTTTTTTAAAAATCACAAATGCTGCCCTCTGGCTTGTGTAGCTCAGTGGACTGAGTGCCAGCCTGTGACTGGAAAGACTGCTGGTTCAATTCCTGGTAAGGGCACATGCTTGGGTTGCAGGCCAGGTCCCCAGTTGGGGGCATGTGAGAGGCAACCAATGTTTCTCTCACACATCAATCTTTCTCTCCGTCTCTTTCTCCTTCCCTTCCCCTCTCTCTAAAAATAAATAAATAAGTAAATAAATAAATAGAATCTTTTTAAAAAATCACAAACGCTTATTCTAGGCACTGTGAGCTCCTGAGTAGGAGGGCCCGGGAATCCTGCTGTTCTAGGGACTGCATGCAGCAGCCCCACCCAGCACCCTGGGCTTCTGCTTTTTTTCTGGGAATCTGGTGCTGCTGTGTGCTTGGGCATCAGCATGCAGAATGTCTCCTTGTTACACTGTTGTGGTGCACAGTTACTTTCCTCTGGGGCATGGACTTGGGTGTCACCTTTTGGGTGAGGCTGGCCTCTGCCAAGGTAAAGTAAGGATGGTGGGACTACACAGGATGTTTCTGAAAACTGTTTTTGTTTTTCAGACGCTTTTTGGGGGCAGCTTTCATGTTACCGTGTGCCCGAACAAGGAGGGTAGAGATGTGACATACCCTCTTACAGGACAAAAGCCAAGCCCCAGATTGAAGATACTTGAACTCACGTCTGGGCGACACTGCCTGCCACACCTGCCGACCTCTGGCAGTAGGACTCACAGCCCAAACAAGGCATTCGCTGCAAGCTGAGCAAAAGGCCCAAGGGCTCCACCTTGAGCACCTCTGTGCGCCTCATTTCCTAGTCAAATGCCTGACCTTCTTGTAGAGGAAGCTTCTGTTTGGTTCCAAGTATGAGAGCCCCACCCCCAACTCTGCCCTTTGAGAGCCACTGGGAAGCTTCGGACCTGAGTGGTAACACCCCTACCAGGACTAATAAATTAAGACCCTTTACTGATATATTTTCTAACGTGGAATATTTTGCTCTAACCCTACAATAACCTGCCTTGACCGGCACTATCAGAGTCAGGGACTCACTCCTTAGCAACACCTGTCCTGGGTGGAATTAGTTGCACGGAGGAGCTTTCACTGCCAGGACTGCTACCAACTGTTCCATACAATGGAGTGTCTATGGTGGCTAAGGGCTTTGTTGACAAGGGGTTACTATGGTAACAACAGAGACTGCTGAACAGCCCCAGGTCAGCAGTGCATTCCTCAACTCTCCTACTGGCTGGAGTGCTGATGGGACACAGGAGACACAGGGGAAGATGTTTCCTCCAGGCTGGCAAAAGCAGTGCTGGGTTTATCCCTGCTTTCTTCATCGTTTGACAAGAAGCCAGGTGATGCTCACAAATCAGTCTCCTGAGTCTTGCTATATTTTCAGGTACCCGTGGGCCCTGGAGACACAGGTCAATGGGTGGGATGATGCCTGTCTGACAAGGGGTGCCGGCAGTTCCCTGAATTCACCCTGTGTAGACCTTCCAGTTCTGGTCGCATGCAGTAGATTTGCTTCTAGTTAAGCCCCCTGGTTCCATATTCTGCCACCATGTTCCCAAAGGGCCTTGGACGCAGGAAATGTCACACAACCAACTACACAGCAAAGAGAGGGGTGGGAGGGCAAGGGGGGTGGCTGGTGGGACCAGCCGGCTTGCTGACCTCTAGATTGAAACAGCTCTGGCCTCCCGGCCTGCAGCTCCTGGCATCCCCGTCGGCTCGACGGTGCAGCTCCCGCGCGGCTCGGAGGTGCAGGTGCTCCCGCTCGGTCCCTCGCTCCACGCCCAGCTGCCACTCCATCTGATCTCTCAGTTTGGACTGTTAGGTGCATGGAGGGATTTGTTGTTTTTTTTTTTAATTTTTAAATAAAACACCAAGGACAAGAGGGTGGAGTGGGGTGGGGAGAGGGGCTAAAGAAAACAAAAATGGGTAAGGTAGAGGACTGAGAACACTACCAGATGAAGAAAAGCATGAACAGAAAAACCAACTTAAACACAGTGGCATAAGATAGTGAAGAGAACAGAACCAAAATGAGGATGAGCAAAATGATGGGCTGAAAGATCTGAAAAGCAAAAAGAGAGAAGAGGGGAAGAATGCAAAACATTGGTTATGAGGCGCATGCAATGGGGATGCATGAGTCACAGACGCAACCGCAAGCACACTACCCTGAAGGATACGGAAACAAGGCTCCTCCATCCTTGCTTGTGGTCGAGCAGCCAAAGCCATAATCCAGGGCGGCAGCTGGGTCATGCACCCAAGGGCGATGCACAGGAGAGCAGTCCTGGGACGGCTACTCCACTCCGCCCTCACTCCCAGTTCAGGGAGGGCAGGGGGAGCAAGCTGGCAGCGAGATTTTCCATCAAAACCATCCTTCTCTCAGAACCGCGCTCCTCTCCCCCATCTGTCTCATCTTCCAGTGGGAGTGGGTGGGCCTGGCTGCCTAGGGCCTTTCACAACTGTACTGTGTCCCTTCGGCATAAACCCAAGTAGGGTTGCAAATGCTCCTGAGCCAGTCTGCTAATTATCCTGACTGTGCAATGAGTTTGTACTTTGTTTTAAACTCCTCTTTGCTTCTTCATCAGGACAGCTGGTCATTCGAGACACCAAAAAAGGAGAAAGGACGGACTGCGTCGATCCCTATCGCTTCCATTGGGATTAGCCTTGTGTCATGAGGGAGGACCTCTAAGCCAAGAGCAACGATGCAGTTGAAAATAAGAGAGGAAAAAGGAAAAACAAATAAGGAAATAAAAGAGAACTTAAAAACAACCCAACCAATAGAAAGGATTTGGTTGACACTTGAGGCTTTAGTACAATGCAGGTTTGAAATCATAACCAAGCAGCTGTGAGCAGAATGAGTTCAAGTGCAGCAATGCCAGCAAGAAGGAGGAAGAGCAAAACCGAGCAGGGAGGCAGAGCCAAGAGCCCCCTTACCTGCAAGTCTGGGACCAGCTCCTTCCCCAGGTTCCCGACGGGGGAGTCCCGGGACACAGAGGTCACAGTAGAGAGGAAGCTGGAAGACTCCGTGAGGTGGGGCAAGGGGGACAAGCCTTCCAGGCGCTCCCTTAGGCCATCCCCAATCCTGTTCACCTGCTCCAGGAAGGTCTGGAGCTCTTTCCGGAAAGCCTTCATCCTGGCATTGATGGTCCCCAGAAGATGGGGCTCCTTCTTGCCCCCCTCCCCCTGAACACCAGGCCCCGGCAAGGCCAGGTCATCCACAAAGCCATTGGTGTCCATGATGAGGCTCTCCATGGTCCGTTCTAGCCGCTCGGCCTCATGCTTTATGCTCACCAAGCATTCGGAGTCCTCCCTGGCCCTCAGGACCTCTGCCGGACACAGCTCGCTGGCCTCCGATGGCTTTCCACTGCTGAAGCCTGACGTCTTCTCGAACATCTCTTCCGAGTCACTTTCACCACCAATGGGGCCCTCCCTCTTGGGCTGGGGTAGGCGGCCTTCCTCCCCATCGCTCTCCTTCTTGCCTGTGTCACTGTCAGCGTCACTGTCTCGGGGGCTTGGGGCACGCAGGCCTAGGTGGGCGGCCAGGTCATAGCGCTGGACATTGGACAGCAGCACCCGGTTCTCATATTGTAGCTTCAACACCTTCCCGCTCAGTTCGCTGATCTGCAGCTGGGCAGACTTCAGCTCCTCCTGCAGGGGGGCCCCGCCACCTGTGCCCTTGCCTCCACCTTCCGCCAGCCACCCAGGCTCTGGCCGTGGCTCAAACTTGAACTTGCTTAGCTCATGGGTCAGCTGCCGGTTGTGGTCTTCGATCTCAGATATGGATCTTCGAAGAAGCTCTGCTTCCTCCTCCACAAACTGCAGGTGTCGGCGGAGCTCCGACGAGGACTCCAGGGAGTCACCAAAGGGTGAGGTAGGAATACTTGGGATGTGGTCCCGGCCTGGGCCCTCTCGCTCATATTGGCCCCGCATGTCCTCCATCTCCGCTTTGAGGCCTCTGTTCTCCACTTCCAGCTCCACAATCTTTCGGCCCAAGATGTTGGCTTCTTCCTCCACCAACTTCAGCCGCAGCTTCAGCTCGGCTTCCCTGGTGCTGGGAGGTCCGCCAGCTTCCCCTGTGGGCAGAGGGCTGTCCACGTCACCATACAGGGCCTTATACCTCTGGAGCTCCTGCTCCAACTCATCCTTCTCCCTCCCCAGCTTGGCCATCTTTTTGCGCATCAGGGAACCTTCCTCTTTGGCAAACTGAAGCTGGCACTTCAAATCAGCACTGTCATCCTGCCAGGAAAGAACAGCCCAAGAGAAGGGTTATTTGAAAATACCAAATGTTCATGTTTTTGATGATTTCCCTTGCACCTCGCCCCCAAAACACACACAAACACAAAACACCTATCTTTTTGTCAGTGTGTCAGGTTACAGTAGAAAGGGCCAAAACAAAGCCAAGGGGAGCTGGGGCCTTCACAGGGGGATGTGGGCCAAGGCCTGCAGTCTGCTGCTTTGTCACAAAAACAAGAGAAACTAAACAATTAGTTTGGAAGAAACGTGCACATGAAAATCATCATACAGGTGATGAATGAAGAGTGAGAAAATGAAATGAGACTCAACCCCCGCTGGTGATGTGGTGATCCCTCGTTACCTCGTGGCCCAATCTGACTAATCACCAGCATCAGCGGGCGGGAGCAGAGCCCTTTGCTACACCTGGTGTAGGCAGACAGGCTTCAGTAGCCACTTCTACCTGTTGCCACTCACTTCCTCCATGGTGCAGACTTCCCTCATCCAAAGTGGTCAGCAATGCACAGGTATTACCAGGAGGAGGAAGCCAGGTGACCTCAAATCAGTGCCAGGCTTTTCACTGACTTGCTGAGAACCTGAGACATGGCGATTCTCCTCTCTCTCCCCCCTGGACTCTCTATCCCCAGTGTATCACAAGGATGATATGATAACAAAATTATGAGATGACAGGGATAGGGGTGCTTCGGGAGTCAGGGTGCGGAGTAAGTACCAAGCTCTGACAGTTAGTATGAATTGGTTACTGCAAATCTGAACACCTGGGTTACTCACAACCTTCCGCCATGCAAGTGCAACTTCAGAGCCCTGGGTTACGTTCCGCTCCCTTTAGTTGCTATAACACAGCAGGAAAGTAAATTCAGAAACCCCAGGCAAGGAGGTGTTTCAAAACCTGAGAAGTATTTCTTGTTGGAATACCAGAGGATTCTGGAAGGTCACCAAAACAGACTCTCTGCTACTACATGCCCACACTGCGTGGCTGGGGTCAAGAGGACACTTTTTGGCCAATTGGAAAGTTGACTCTGCCTTCACAGTGCAGGTCTCAAAGCCTTCAAGCTACATAAATTCTGATCTGGGCTTGCACAAAGGTTTTCTATCATATTCAGTGAACGGGAAAAATGACCACTTTCATGAGTTGCTCCTCTTTGATTGGCTAACAGAAGTTTCAAAGGGCTGTCATGGGGACAAAGACTTCAGCACAGAGAAACTCAACAGCAAGCCTGAGGGTAGTCAGCCCCCATCCGCCTCAGGGGAAGGGGAGTCCTCAAACCGATGTCTGGAACAAGTAAACCCCCTGGGGGAGAATGAATTCTTTGAGATCATAGTTTGTGCTCAAATGGCCTGGTAGAGTTGACACAGCTTTTACACTCATTCTGTGCCATGTTTTTGCCACAATCTCACCATTAGTCAGAAAGATATAGAAAAACCTCCCTTTATGACCCCCAACTTTTCATCCTTCTGCCCGCCTAGACCCCTCTTCCCTGTACCACAAATCCATAAAATTTTTTTTAAAAAAGTGATATGACAGGGCAGACTCGAGGAAAAAACCTAAGACCAATTGTGAGCCAGTGCTGCGTGGAATGCAGGCCTTGGTGCTACCTGGGAATTACAATCACAAGTCTGACTATAATGCTTCCCCAGCCATTGTCTTAGCAGAGGACAAATCAGACCTCTGGGCCTGGGATCAAACATGCCGCTCGAGTCCCACTTCGGCCCCTTCTATCCCTGGCACCATGGGCTGATCACAGAGACCTGGTGAACCTGTCTCCTTATGACTAAAGCAGGATCCTCACACAATCACAAGGTTGTTTTGAAGGTCAAATGGAATAATGTAGAGCAGAGGGGTTTGTATGATAAATCTTCATACTCTATCACCCTGAAATAAACTTTCTGCTTTGCCTGAAATGCAATTAATATTGGGGGAAGGAGCCAATAACTCTGCTTTTTCCACTCTTTGTGCATCAGAGAGTAATATATAAATGCCATTGGGAACACAACATGGTATTCTAAGGGCTTATCCCATTAAGAGCTTGGGTTTGGGGGGGTTAAACAGACATAAAAAGGGTTTCTGTGACTAACTGGAAAATAAAGCTGTCTACCCATTCACACTGAGCAAAATGGATTATCACTTCTGGTCAGGTAATGAGATGTATGTGTGTATATATACAATGCCTACATAGAATAGATGGGCTATAAAAGACATATACTGTAGTCAATCCTAACACTAATGGAAAAGCATGCTTATTTGTTGATTCATTCATTCTTTCGGTAAATAGTGAGTGCCTACTATGGACCAGAAATTGGCATTTTACTTTTAAATGACCTCAGCTTCATAAAACTTTCTAAAGTAAAACAATCAAAAGCACCTTTTCAATTTTTTGCAAAACCTAGATTCCAAGAAATCAATGGAGATAGACTGTCAATACTTTGTAAATGGGTTACTTTGGGAGTAAAAAGCCTGGGGAGACAAGGTAGTGCCCTTTGCCCCACCATTACATTGGTAGCCAATATCTGTCTTTGTCCAGAATCACCTAAGTAATCCTATCTCCACCCTGAAGCAGAGAAATTCACCTCTGTACCTGAGGACGGCAAGAGAGGTCATGGAAGACTGTGTCGCCAGCCACAAGGAAACTCCGTCCTCCGCCCACTTCAAGTGTGGGCATACCCAGAGATGGGCAAGACCACCTGTTGTGATCAACGGCCTGACCCTGCTTCCATGGAAACTTGCCATTGGTGAGGCCTTGATACGGGAGTCCAGGTTGAAAACAGGTGAATGAGGGGCTGAACTGCCTGCTCAGTTCAGGGAGCTTTTATCCCAAACCAAGATCAGGAAGTCTCAGGTGATCCCTCCTGAGCGCCCTCCCCAAAAAGTGAAACTAAGAAGTTGAGGAAGTGAGTAGGATCTCTGACAGGCACATGGAACCCAGGCCTTGCCCAAGGGTTCTGAAACGGTTGCTGAAAAGTACTGAGGGCAGAAAAATCCTAAAAGCCCTCAGATTGCCTTGATTTCTGGAAACCTTGAAACCTGCACCATTGCCCTTCCATCTGCCCTCCTCACAGGTATGACTATAAACCAGAACCATTCTTCTCCATCTCCTTGAACCTAAACCCAGGTTAGTTTAAGAAGCAAGATTCTATGACAGACCCTAGTGAGTGTCCAATTCCAAATTACCTGATGGTTGATAAAATGTCCAAAAAGTCGTCTTGTTCCTTAAAGAAAGAACTATACACAAAGCAGGAATTTTGACATATGATTAAAGCGTGCTGCCATTTCTACTAAACACCCATGCGCTATAGGCCTGCCACCAAGAATAAAGCAGGTTTTGAAAAAAATGACAATCTTTGGAGCCAAGGGAGTGTGTGCATTTCACAAAGGGGTCAGCCTTGAGGGGCCGACAGGAGGGAGGGGAGGCGAGGGGAGCTGGGCTCAGCCTGCTCGGGAGTGGGAAGTCACCTCTTCTAACAAGATGGAGAATCACAGCCTCAGCCAAAGCAGCGGGAGGCTGGCTACCCATCTTATCTTGTAACCCCAGACCTTCTACCACTCTGCCAAAACTCCAGGGGAGGGGTCTAGGCTGAATCCTAAGCTGAAGGATATCAGGTTCTGGGTTCAAGAGATCATCAGACAGCTCCAGGAATGCAGTATGAAAGCAGAAGATTGAGTCAAACTTTCCACATGGCACTGTCCCTGTGGCAAGCAGAGAAGGCAAGCATGGCACAGGGGGGAACACACACAGGAACACCACCACCACCACCACCACCAGCCAGAAAGGCCTTGTCAAGCAACAAAAATATATCACTATGGGTATATATTCTTTGGCTTGCAAGTCTGATGTATAGCCAGCACCCCAAGCGCTGACTGCTTATGTTCCTACCTTGCGCCGGGGTGCCAGTTTCCTTTGGGTTTTGGTTGCAGACCTGCAGTTCCCAAGGCGCTCCGTTCCACCACTCTGCTGGACAGAAACTCCTTTCTCAATGATACTGCAGGCTGAGGGGGGACTGAACACATTCCCGGTGCCCACGGCTTCTCACACACTCCTGAGAGGCAGCAGTGGCTATTCTCAGCCTGATTTACCCACAGGTGCCATGCTGTTCCTTCCAGAACGGGGCAGCAGTTTCTCTTTTTTTTTCTTTTTTTTTTTTAATTTATTTACTTTTTAAATACATTTGTCTCTGGTCAAGAGCCAGTACATTGAAACATACTTGAAGCCCAGGAGGGCCCAAGCACCCTGCGGTGGGATGACAGATTTAAATTTCCCCATCATTAGTGAATGCCAGCGTGACACTGGGGAGCACAGAAGGCGGGAGGGGAGAGTTAATCTTCGGCATTCCTGCTGTTCACATGGCCTGGCCCTCCTTGAAGGGTACTCTGGGGACCAGAGAGTTTGGAGAATGGAGAAACCCAAAGGAATCAGTGTGGAGTTCACAGGGGTGGGCCAGCAGAGCTCTTAGTTACCCAGATTTACTGAGTCTCTCTAATTACTACTTGCTCTGGGAGCTCGGGGACCTGATATCCCAATAATGCCTTTGTTCTCTCTAACACTTAATACTAGCAGAGACTTTTTCTTTTCTTTTCTTTTCTTTTTTTTTTTTTAACAGAAGAAAGGAATCCAGTAAAGCACGTATCAAAAAAGCTAAGAAAGTTCTGAAGAACCCATATCACGTACATAGAAAGGGCTACACTTTTACCATCTTTCAGTGAGAACATTTCACTTTCTTTTAGGACATTTAGGGTACTGGTTATCTTGCACATATTGAAAAGAAAAACCAATGCTCAAAACAGTGCCTTATGAATGACCTGCCACTACAGTAGCCGTACTATTTTACTATCTGAATAACTTTGAAAGCCAAAACACTTTTACCAGTATGAGTACTGCCAGAGCCCTGAACTGCACCAAATTATGTCTCACAGAAAGCCAGTCTGCCCTTCTTTTTCTTGAAGGAATCACCAGCTTATTGGTGCAAGAAACAAGGGAGGAGCTGTTGGCTTGGAAAGAAAAGTTTCACCCACGGGGCTTTTGAATGACTCCAAATTTTTTGGCAGGCAGTGCTTCTTCGAATATTTCAAAGGCAACGTTAACATTTTTAAAGAAAATTCAAAATGATATGATTCCCTCTTGAGGAGATGTAACATTAGAAAGAAACCTCGGCTTACCTGGTTAAAGGTTTTCTTTTCTTTGTATGTTTCCCGACTGCCTCTTCTTTTCAGGGAACTCTGAAAGAGATCCAAGTGACATTCTGTTAGGGAGGGTACACGTGGAACCTGCCCTGGGCGAACACTGTACCCACTGGTGGGAGACACGCACAAGAATGGAGGCTCTTTTTTTCCCCACTGGAATCAAGAAACCACTTAGAGTCAACCTTTCAAAGCAGTTAAATAGGTTGGTGAGGTCTTTGAATCCTAAGGGACTTTAAATCCTAATTATTATATTTCAGATATTCCTCAATTTTTATTCAGTTTTATAAAAAAGGAGGATGGCTTAGATAACTTGTACCAGTGAAAGGAAGACGGGAAGAAGAGGAAAAGGTAAAAATATTGGAAATAAATATGTAACATTTCTGGGGCTGTCTTATCTTTCTAATTATGTTTTGTTTGAGCTAATATCAAAATTATTTTATGTTTCCTGAATGCCTACAAGTAAACGACCAGATAAAAAAAGCAGTAGGAGAGTGAAAACGGGGCGGGGGTGGGGGGTGCTGTTTATGGAAAAAAATATTCTCCAAGAACAACGCACTCTAATTCATGATTAAGCCTATGTCTCATAGATCTAAAAGAATTCATAATTTATTCACTTGTGATGTGGCCTTGGCTGTGTCCGTCAGTGGATTGGGTCCCTGCCTAGTTTTACATACACTACAGTGCACCTTTGCCTGTTACAGGCAAGAAATGTGTCTGAAATATAAATATAAATATACATAAAAGGGACAAGGGGTGTCTCAAATGGCATAACATGGAGCCAGACAGTTCCTGCCACAGTAAAGTATGAAGACAGGAAGGACTGATTGGAAAAAGAGCGAGAAGCACCTTAGCAGAAGAGGGAAGAATTTGAATCTGAAAGAATTCGTGTAATCCTGAGACCAGTTGGAAGAAAGCAGTTTGGAAAGTTAAGGCTGCTGGCTATCCTTCACACCCTGGCAATCCTGTGAAAGAGAAGAGATTCTCCCTGATGGCCGCCCCCTCCCTGCTGCTGCTTCGCCCTAACTGGAGCAGGGATCTGGGTCCTCTGGGAACTCATCTTGGGGTGGGCTCAGAGCCCTCCCTGCGTCATTCCTCTGCCCCAACCCACGTACCTAAGCAGCTGGGAAAGGAAGGAGGCTCTTATGCAAGTCACTTACATAACAGTCAGACCTTAAGTTAATTAAGTTACTTCTATTTACATTTTACATGTCTCACTCACAGAAGACTAAGCCATGCCTTTTATTGAATGAATTTCAGGGTTAAGAAACAAAATTCTAGCCTCCCTGAGCCTCAGGGAGTCTGAAGGCCTGGGAGGAAAAAAGATAATTGAGAGAAGGGATGAGATGGTTACAGAATCAGCAGGGGTGTGGGCATCCCCGGCCAACCAAGGCGGGTATGTATGGGAGCTTGTCACTGACACCTCTGCAGAAGCAGCTTTGTTTCCTTTAAGCTTTTTGGCAAAGGCAGGGTCACACTACAAAGAGAACCAGTCTCTTCTGACAGGTTAAGTTAAGCAAGTCTTAAGGAGGGCTTGAGGTTTTCCCCCAGAATAAGTAGGTTTTCCAAGATTTTTCGTGCTGCAGTGGAGTTTCTTTGATTAGAGTGAGCTGAGTGAGATGAACACTGGTGATTCACTACAGAGAAGAGTTACAAAAAGAAGCAGGGAGAGAGACTTCCCAAAGCTTCAACCTCAGGGATGTCATTTTGGGACTGTGGCAGCAACAAAGGAGCCCCACATCATATCATATTCTCCCAAAGAACAGAAAAGAGATCCTGCGCTGCAGGAAAACTGTCTAGAAAAGAGATGACAGCTAAAGGAGAGACAGAAGTTCCTGAAAATTGATGCAGATTCATGGGTGTCTGCATCACAGGGCGAGAGGAAGGCGCACATTCTGGGTGAGCCCTCCTGCTGGGAGGGACAACCGGGTGCCAGCGCACAGACTCCTCCATCTGCCTGACGGGTCTCTTCTTCTTACTGAGCTCTGAACACAACAGCCTCTGAGTCCTGTGATACTTTTAGTGAATCGCAGAACAGGCGGCGCAGATCCCCAACACAGATCCCAGTCACAGTGGCAACTGTGATGAAGAGCACTGCAAGGATTAAAGTTAACCAGAAACGTGAAGGACCCACATGAAAGAAACCATAAAACTTGGGTGACAAACACAAAGCTATGCTTGATGGTATCTGATGGGAAGACCTTTTGTTATAAAGATGTCACATTTCTCCCAAATCACTTAATATGATAACATTTTAGCCAAATTCCTCATTGCCTCCATATATACATATATAACATATAATGTGTATAATGTAATATATGTACATTTACACACAAAAAATATTTGTGTGTGTGTGTATATATATATAAAAGGATATATATACACACACAAATATCTTTTGTGTATTTGTGAGGGAGGTAAGCTGATGGACTTGACAAAATGATTCAAAAATTCATCTAGAACAGGGCTGGCAAACTCTGGCCCTCAGGACAAATCAACCCACAGCCTTTTCTATAAATAGATTTTTCTGAAGCACAGCCTCCTTTACTATTGTGTCTGGCTCCTTCTGCTATAAGAGCAGTATTGAGTTGTGACACACCATATGGTCTGAAGAGACTAAAATATTTACTATTTGATCCTTTTCAGAAAGTTTGCTGACCTCAGTGCTAGAAATATGGGTTGGTAAAAACAGCCACAAACACTTTGAAAAGGAAAAATGATGACTGTAGGTTTAGACTACTAAGTATAAAAATGTAATATTGTGGTTTGGTGCTGGTACAAGAGTAGAGAGATCAATGAAACAAAATAAAGCACAGAAATAAATTTGAAAGTTTGTAAGATGTTAACAATTGATATAGGTAGCATTTTAAAACAGTAGGGGGAAATAACGGGCAATTTGGCATAGGTTGGGGAAACAACTGTCTAAAACAGGGAAAAAAAACAATGAGATCCCAACCATGTATCAAAAAAACTTCAGATTAATATTTAAAAATCTATATTTAAGAAATCCTAAATGAACTAGAAAGAAAAAGAGATGAATTTCTATTTGTTCTTGGGGCTATGGCCTTTATAAACTCAGAAACAAAAGCCAAAAAACTAATTAAACAAAATTGATAGAATGGACTGGCGAAAGATTTTTAATTTTTACATATCAAAAGAAACCATTTACAGTATTAAAAAGCAAATGACAAACCTGGAAAAAAATTTGCTAACAAGACCGTTAAAAGAGTAATATTTTGCAAGCAATAAGAAAACCACCTTCATAAGAAACTAGATAAATGGCCAATAGACACACGAGTAGCAATTAAAACAAGATACCATTTTTTCACTTAGAGATTTACAGACCAAAATAAGTATGACCCCCAGTGTTAGCAAGTGTCCTCGGAGGTGGGCACTTTGACAAAGATCAATGAGAGTGGGTGGTCCTTCAGCATTTCAGATGGGCAACTCAGCCTGACAAATGCATATATTGTGACCCAGTAAATCCACCTCTGGGAATACACCCTAAGGAGAAATGTAGAAATGTATGCAAACATTTACGGGTAAGAATGCTCATCACAGTACCTTTTATAATAGCAAATAAAGACTATGGAGGTTATTAAAATGATGTTTTTAAAGAATACTTAAAGAGTCAGGAAATACAATACATAAAAAGAAAAATACAGGTCACAAACAGCATATATTTTGTGACTTCAGTTTATAGCTAATAAAATCTAAATATATGTATGTGTTACCTGTGTTTGTTAGAAGGGTAGACTATAGAAATATGTATCAAAATGCTAATAGTGATCACCTTCAGGTGACAGAATTAAAGGAGATTTCAATTTTTGTGCCTTTTCATAGTCTCCAAATTATCTACAATAAATACTGTTTATTTTGCAAAACAAAAACAAAACAAACCAGGATATTAAAATTTGTACTTTAATGAGGTGAGAGAGAAGAGGCCACAACTGATCTCCAATGTCGACTGTGGTGGAGCTTCATCAGAAGTCATCTGTCAACTTCTTGGGCTTTGTTCCTTCATTAGAACTTGTTTCCATTAGCCTGGTCCTTGAGGTATAACCTATACATACGGGGTTGTTTAAAATGACCAAGAAGCCCCCTAAGGGTTGAGGGAACTGGCCAGGCGGTACTCCACTGCACTGCAGGTCCTAGGCATATGGCTCCCTCGGCAAGTTCCAAGCAGTCTTTAGGCTCTTAAGCCTAAACTGTAAATGGTTTCTTTTGATATGTAAAAATTAAAAATCTCTCACCAGTCCATTCTATCAATTTTGTTTAATTAGTTTTTTGGCTTTTGTTTCTGAGTTTATAAAGGCCATATCCCCAATTAGAGCTGGGTGCGATCTCCTCCCTGGCTCACCTGCATGGTGGCCAAGGAACCCTGAGCAGAGGTTGACTTGTAAGAGCATCATTCATGACCAGTTCACTCCTCTGGATGACTCAGATTCAGTGGAGGGTCTCTTACAAGAAACAATTAAGGGAAAAGGGGAAATGTAGACTATCAAGTAAATGGAGCCCTGAATGAGGATGTGCCTGCTGTTTAATTCTACTCTTTCTTTTTAGTCTGGCCAACTGTCAGAAAATCAACTCTAAATTCCTATGAAAAAGGAAAAAAATTAGATATCTGGATCCAAGTGGAATCTAAGTCTGTGGCATTGCTGAGTGTTAAATGATTAAATAAAACATGAAGTTAGGCAATTATTTGGACTTCTTATTTCTTTCTTTTTTTAAAAGATTTTATTTATTTATTTTTAGAGAGAGGGGAAAGGAGAGAAACGTTGATGTGTGTCACACGCCCCCTACTGGGGACCTGGCCTGCAAACCACGCATGTACCCTGACTGGGAATCAAACCTGTGACTTTTTGTTTACAGGCTGGTGTTCAATCTATTGAGCCACACCAGCCAGGGCCCTTTATCAATTCTTAATATTTCCTATTTTAAGTTGGCCAGTTTCTTCCAACCAATTTCAGAAAATTAACTTTTTAATTAATTAAAAATTAATTAATTAGATTGGTAATAAAAAGAGGCAAATATAAATT